GCTGTGGCGGTGTCACATATAAAGTAGAGGAAGATGGGCACAGTTGTTAGCTCGGGGCTAATCTTCCTCAGCAAAAGGAGGAGGATTGGCAATATCTGTTAGCTCAAGGCCAGTCTTCCTCACACACAGAAAAAGTATCCCAGAAGAAAAAGAGAGTGAGAATGAGGTGGAAAAATATTTGAAGGAATAATTTCCTGTATCTGATGAAAAATATTGACTTATAGTCCAAGATCTCAGACAGCCCCAAGCACAATAAATACAAAGATCTCACAGGCATATCATAGTGAAGATCCTGAAAACTGAAGGTAAAGAAGCTCGAAAGAAACCAGAAAAAACAGATACATTACATATAGGGGAGTAATAATAATCACTGCTGACCCTTTATCAGAAACAATAGAGGCCAGACAACAATAAACCCAGAATTCTACAACCAGCAAAAATATCCTTTAAAACAAGGGTGAAGTAAAGACATTTCAGAAACACAAAAATGGACCAAATGCATTGCCATCAGACCTGCAGGACAAGGAAAGGATAATGGAGATTCTTTAGGCTGAAGGGAGATGACACAAGATTGAATCTTGAATCTCGAATAGACACTTTACAAAAGGAGATGTATGAAGGGCCAATATGCACATGAGAAGTAGCTCACCATTATTAATCATCAGGGAAATCCAAACTAAAACCACAATGAGAAAAACCCCAAAACCCACTAGAAGGCTAAAATTTGAAAGACTGACAACACCAAGAGTGGAGCAGCTGGGACTTTCATGGAGTGTTAAGTGGCATAGTTACCTTGGAAAACAGTTTGGCAACTTCTTATAAAGTTGAACATACACTTACCAACTGACACAGCAATTCCCCTCCTGGGTATTTATCTGAAAGAAATGAAAATAGGTCTATACAGAGACTTCTCCGTGAATTTCATAGGAGCTGTGTTCATAATAGCCCCAACATGGAAACAACCCAAATGTTTATCAACAGGTGAATGGGTAAACAAACTGAGATGTATTCATGCGTTGGAATATTACTCAGCAACAAAAAAGAATGAACTACCATGTGGATGAATCTTAAGAACATTATGCTAAGTGAAAAAAGTCAGATACAAAAGAGTACATACTGTATACTTCTAGTCATATGAAGTTCTAGAACTGGCAGTACTAATCTACAGTGACAGAAATTAGATCAGTGGTTGCCTGGGATGGGGTGGGGAGACTGTCTGTGAAGGGGCATGAGGGGTCTTTCTCAGATGATGCAAATGTTCTATATCTTCATTCAGTGGTGGCTAAACGGGGGCATACACCCATTAACACTTGTTGAACTGTACATTTAAAATGTGTACATTTTATTGTATGCAAATTATACCTCAATAAAATTGATAAACTAATGATTTAAAAATTCATAAGACATCTAGAAATAAATCTAACATACATGTGACAGACTTGTGCCTAGAGAAATACAAACTTTATATGAAATGTTATAGGAGATGAAGGATAACAAAGCAGACCTAACCAAATGAAGAGATAAACCACGTTCATAGATAAGAAGCTTTACTATCATAAAGATATTAATTCTCCTTAAATCGATTTACAGAATGAACGCGACTACAATCAAATTCCAAACAAGGATTTACAAGTTGATTCTAAAATTTATGGTGAAGAACAAAGGCCAAAAATAGTCAAGGCACTGACGAAAAAGAATGAATGGGCATTCGTCCTTTCAGACATTATGTCTTGTTATAAAGCTATAGTAATTCAGTGTAGTATCCACACAAGAATAGACAAATTGACTAAGGGAACAAAATAGAAAGCCCCTAAATTGACATATATATTGTCTATTCTTGTGTGTGTGTGTGTGTGTATATATATATATTATATAAATATATTAAATACATAAATAAATTACATATGGAATACATAAAGATATAGATATACTGCATATATCTATATCTATTTGCTATAGAACAGAAGTGATGTAGGCAGAGCAGTAGCAAAGGGGGGACTATGCATTGGTTATCCATATGGAAAAAAATGAAATTGTATTCCGGCCTTCTGTTATACACAAAATCAATCCCAGGCAAAGAAAACTTATAAATGTCAAATGCAAAATTTTAGATCTTTTAGAAGAAAAAATTAGAGAATGTCTTCCTGATCTTGGTATAGGGAAGGATTTTTAAACAAGGTACATTGAACGCTTAATATAAAAGAAAAGATTAAATTAGACTACATTAAAATTCAGAACTTTTATTTATCAAAATATGCTGTAAGGTGAAAACACAAGCTGTAAACTTGAAGATGACATTTGTGATACATATAAGTGACAAAGCAGTAATATCTAGAAATATAAAGGATATCTATAATCCAATGAGAATAAGGGCAACAACCCAACAGAAGAAATGGGCACAAGAAAAGGAAATACACACAAATAATAAACATTTAAAGAGATATTCAGCCTCAATAGTAATCATGAAAACACAAAGCAAGACCAAAAATAAGACTGATTACACCATTTAACTGTTGAAAATTCAGACACATTGAAGAGGATACGAATCTTTTATACGCTGCTGATCAAAGTGTAAATTGTTATTTTAATGACTTTGGCCAATAATTTTTGTCCTATAACCTTGAACATTTGGCCATCCTAAGACCCAGAAATTCCACTCCTGGATGTATATCAAAGAGAAATTCTCATATAAGTGCATCAGGGGATGTTTAGAAAAATGTTCATAGCACCAACATTGTAAGAAGAAAAAACAAAACAAAACAAAACAATCATAGAATTACATAAAGTGTGGTTTATTCACTCAATAGAATACTATGAATCCTAGCGGAGGAATCCTAATTACACAATGTTCAAAAACAGAAAAACCAAGTCCCTGGGTATTACCCTTTTTATAAAAAAAAAAACAAAAACCAGGAAAAACTAAAAAATATTTTTTTAGGTATACCCATGTATGTGATAAAACTAATAAACAAACAAGAGAATGACGACACACATTCAAGAAAGTGGTGACCTCTAAGGTGAGAATTAGGGAACAGAGTGGGGAAGGAGTGTGTAAGTGGATGTAAATTATTAGTAACGTTTTGGTTTTTGTGTCAGTAAGTGGGTGCATAGGTGTTTCATTTTCATTATATTATTAAACGAATAATAAAATAATATGCTATTTATAAGAAGTGAACCTAAAACATAAGGCCATAAACTGGAAGGGAAAGAACGTGTTAAGGTGATGGGTTAGAGGGTCCGAGTGTATTGTACGTAGTAGGAGTAATTGTTTACGAAACTGATTTCAATTTATGTGCATGAATACGTATGTAGGTACTGATTCACGTGGTGGTCTGGTGGTTAAGATTCCGCACTCTCACTGCTGTGGCCTGGGTTCGTTTCCCAGTGAGGGAACCACACCACCCGTCTGTCGGTTATCACACCGTAGTGGCTGTGTGTTGCTGCGATGTTGAAAGCTATGCCACTGGGATTTCAAATACCAGCAGGGTCACCCATGGTGGACAAGTGTCAGCGGAGCTTCCAGACTAGACAGACTAGGAAGAAGGACCTGGCCACCCACTTCTGAAAGAATTGGCCATGAAAACCCTATGAATAGCAGCGGAGCATTGTCTGATGTAGCGCTGGAAGGTGAGAGGATGGCGCAAAAAAGACCAGGCAGGGTTCCTCTCTGCTGTACACAGGGTCACTAGGAGTTGGAATCAACTTGGCAACACTAACAATAAACTGATTCATGATATAAAAGATATTTTTTATTTTGAGTTGTGGTTAAAAAAAATGTTTGACAGTCAGTATCCTAAAGAACCCCTTGCCCAAGTATACCAGCAGGTATGTACAAAGAAGTTCAGAGCCAGCCCCGATGGCCTAGTGGTTAAAGTTCGGTGCTTAGCACTTTGGCGGTCCAGGTTCATTTCCTGGTAGGGAAACCATACCACCCGTCTGTCAGTAGCCATGCTGTGGTGGCAGCTCACATAGAAGAACTAGAACGACTTACAACTAGAACAACCATGTACTGGGGTTTTGGAGAGGGGGGAAAAAAAGTTCAGAGCAGAATTGTTTGTTATAACAAAAACAAAAACACCCACATGTATCCCTATAGAAGAATGGAGAAGTAGTCACAGATTGGAATACTATACAGCACTGAAAAATAAAGCTACATGCATCAAAATGGATGAATCTCACAAGTAGAATGTTGAGGAAAAAGCAAGTCACAGAAGCATAGAAACAGTGTAATGCTATTTATATAAAGCTTAAAGGTAGACAAAACTAAACACTTGCTTAGGGATTCAAACACACATGGTAAAATAATAAAGAAAATCAAGAGAATGCTTAACACAAAAACCCTGGATAGAGGTTACTTTGGAGATTGGATGGGGTCAGTGATGGAGGATGCTGTGATCAGAAAGGGCCCCACAGGGGGCTTCGAAGGTACTGGTGGGTACACGAGGATTTGTTTTACTACTGTTGCTATTTGAGTCGTTAAATGTATGTTATATATAGTCTTTTACATGTATGAGAAATTTATAAAACAGAAAAATTGCCTACAGCAGCTTGAGGTCTCTGGCCCTGGTTACTCCTTCAGTTCAGCCATCAGCACGGGTTTCCTACCTAGTCTTGGAACGGGAATCCCCAGCCCAGGTCTCTCTCCCTCCTGTCCATCTTCCACATTGCTACCAGACAGGCCTTCCTAAATTGCATCTCCCACCAGGCCACTGACCTGCTCAAGCACCTTCCGTGGCTTCCCACTGCCCACCCCACAAGCCCCAACTCCTCAGCTCCACACACTTCCCCCACCTGAAGTACCCGTCCTTTCCCCTCCTCCTCCTTCCTTCAAGGAGGGAGGTCCCAGCCTGGGACCTCCACTTTCCCACCTGGGCTCACAGAACGGCCCCTTCCGCCCGCTGTCAGAACTCTGCAATTGTAGCAAGGTGAGGTCACAAAGCTCCTGGGGAGGAGAGGCCTCGTCCTCGGAGGCCAGGATTCTGGGAGCTCCTTGGGCTGGAGTTTAGATGCTCCCGGGAGGCTTGGAGGAGAGAGACCACAGCTCCCTTCATCATGGTGAGACTTGTCCACGTGGCTCACGGGCTCACACGGGGTGAGGGGTCTCGGACTCCACCCAGATCTGTTGGCCCCAGCCAGGCACAGGCTTGCTTGCTATGTCCGCAGCTTCTGGGAACGGGAGTGGGAGAGGCTGGGCAGTCGGCGAGGGCAGAGAGCGGTGGGAGATGAAGTTCTGCAGTCTTTTCATATCCGTTCCCCCTGCCTGCCTTGGAGAGAAATTTGCGTTGGGCTGGCATGAGCATTTCCTATTCTCTGGGCTGAAGTGAGTGTGTGACGTTACGTCCTTCAGGGTGTAGAGCAAAGAGCTGGGCTTAAGATGCAGTCTGGCTCAGCCCTTGACCGGCAGGGTCCCTCACGTCCCTCTGGGTCCCTACTGCCTTGCACGGTAGACAAGTGGGTCAGCTTGCCCAAGGAAAGATAATGGAGACAGTAACACCCACCTGGCCTACTTCACAGGTGGTCGTGGGCTCCGGGGGGGGATGGTGGAGGGAAACGCCTGGAGAGTGTGAGGCTGTGCAGGCGTCAGTCACTGTACCCAGGCTGCTCGCGTGCTGGTGTGTGGGGACAAGGTGCAGAGAGGGAAAAGGCCCCCTGGCTTTGTCCCTGTGGACAGCACTTCCCGTAGTGGCCTTGGGTTTGGGAAAGGAGCCAGAATCTGGATCCCTGTCACTGATTAATAGCATTCATCAAGTTAAGGAAGCTTCTTCCTATTCTTAAATTTTTAAAAGTATTTTAAAATTAGGAATTATTGTTGGATTTTATTAAATGCAGTTTGTACTAATTTAGATGATCCTATGTGGTGAATGAGGATAGTTGATTTCCTAGAGTTTAAGTACCCCCGTTCCTGGGATAAACTCTATGTGATCTCAGGCTGAAGACTCGACTCAACAGCTTGTCGCTCTGCGGTGTTCCCTTCGTGCCTGAGTTCACGCTCCCTGTGGCATCCCCAGGCCTGGTGGAGCACCCACCACTGTCCACCAAGTGCATTTCATTCTCTCAACACCCCTTGGGGACAGGAAAGATTATCATCCCCATTATAAAGATGGAGAAACAGAGGCCCAGAGAAGTTAGATGATCTGCCCGAGATGGAGGGTGGATGGGTGGGTATTGGAACTGTCTAGGGGCCTCAGTTGAGTGCCCCTGTCTGCTGTCCTCATCTCCCTGATCCTCCCCCTGCTCTGCTGCCCCCACCCCGCAGTGTGAGGAGATAAAGGCGACTGTGCAGAATCACGCACCGAGCCTGAGGCACAGCAAGGAGGAGCTGAACAGGCTTAACCAGGCCATCCAGCGGCTGACTGCGGAGGGGGACGGTGCTAAGGGTCAGGTGAGGGTGGGAATGGGGGCGGCAGAGGGGTGACGGCGGGAGGATGTCCATTGTTTATGATGACTAGACTGGACACCCCCCATCCTTTGGAATAGATGCATAGAGTTTCATTTGTGAATGTCTGAGCAAACAGGAGTGTGGCTGTAGGTGCATAGCATGCTTACAGTGCCTAGGACTCTGCATTTCATGTAGGTAAGTAATTAACACGCAGGCAAATAGGTTTGAATATGTATGCTTGTTTCTATATCGTTTTTTATGTGTATATACATTTTTATGTCTGTGTGTTTTATCTTACACTGCATTAAATTTGAGCCCATCCTCAGAATGGGCAAGGTTTTACCTAAAAATCCAGTTTTCTGGGTTCTCTTTAAAAATGTGCAGATCTGGCAATGTTAAACTATGACCCCAAATGGTGGCATTTGGCTACAGAAGAGAGGCCTCTATCTTCTTTGTTGTCTTCACAGGGGGATATGCTCTGTGTGTGCCACAGTCCCCATCACTCCATATTGCCTCCTTTGACATCGAGGCAGAGGGTTCTGGGCCATTTATCATCCCCTTGGCCGGTGCTGTTATTATCCCTGTAGAAGAGAAAAGATGCTGAACCTCTGTCTCTATCTAAGGTAGAGAAATGAAAGACTGAAAACATGAAAGAGGTCCCAGTGATTTCAGGAAAATGAGAGTGTGCACATTTCTTTGTGGAACTGGATCCTATTGATTATACTTAACATTTGGCTTTACCTTTTGGTGCCTCCAGCCAGGTGTCTGTAGGCGTTTGTGTTTGTGATTCAGGCCTTAGAAAGGAGAGGTTCCCGCGGGAATGCTTTTCTTCTCCCGACCCCCCTCTTGCCGCCGTCTCCGTCAAGCCCCCCGGCTCACGCTCTGTGCCGCAGATGGAAAGGGTTCTGCTCCACGTCGGTCTTCCTTGCTTTCTGCAGATACAAGTGTCTCAGGCTCTGAGGGATATTTGGGAGGTTCTCCCTTCTCCAGGAAGTGATGACTTTGAGGAGGGACAAGCTGTTCAGGTTCAGGGGTGGCAGTGTGCGTGGGCGGGCCCGTCGTGGTTCAGTCCCCAACCTGCCACAGTGGCGCTCATTCCCCCACTGGCTTCCTAAGCAGCAAGCACACCGGGCCAAGGCAAGAGCTTATTATTATGATTTTTCCAGAGACTACACATTCTAGTCTCCTGTAAGGAAAGGAGATTCTTCCTGTTAGTTTCCCTGCTGAAACAAGAACCACAGCACGTGATGTGCTAAGGAGCCTTTGATGCTTCCTGGACCTGAGCTCCTATTAGAAGTGTCACCATCCTAGATGTAAAAGGCTCTCTCTCAGCCGTCCCAGATGGCTGGCCCCAAATCTCCACCCTGGGAGCGGGGCAGACACACAAACACATGTTTCAGTACAGGCGTGCTCGCTCCTCAGAATGCTTTCGAATCCCTCACTGGCCCTCCAGCCTCTGAGAACAGTCTGGGTCCTCGACGGGAGAGGGATGGGGGCCAAGGATGTCCTTCTGTCCGTGGTCTTCCCTTTGCCCCCAGCCCTGCGAACTAGAGAGGGCCAAGGAGCCGCCAGCTCTGCAGGAGGAGGCTGCCTCAGGCAGTGCCAAGGGCAAGCTGGCCTGGCTGGAGGCGGCCCTGCAGCAGGCCAAGCAGGACATGGCGCGGCAGCTGCGCGAGTACCAGGAGCTCATGATCGTCAAACTGGGCCTGGACTTTGAGATCGCCACCTACCGCAAGCTGCTGGAGGGCGAGGAGAGCAGGTGAGGGCCGGGCGGCGCTTCAGATGTGGCCACGGTGAGGAGTGCAGGAGCACAGAGAGGTCACTCTCTGGGTCCTCACCAGCCGGGGAGGGAGGGGGAGAGGTGACGTGGGCATCAGGGACTTTTTCTCCTGGAGCCTGCTTTTTCCCACCATCTTACAGCCCTCTAGACAAAAGGTCCTAGCAAATGAGCACCCTTGGCTCCAGGGATGGGGCAACTCATGAAGTCATTTACCCCCAGGATCAGAGAGCAGGGGCCAGCTGGTCCATCAAGATAGCTGCAGGGACCAAGGCCCAGCCAGGGGGAAAATGTCCCCAGTGCAGAGTGCCTTCTTCTCAACTCTACCCCTTTCCCTTTGGCCTGAGGAAGGCAGGCTTTACAAGAACAAGTTTTAACCTTAGACAGCAGTAGGGACCAAGGGCTGCCAGCTTTAGTGGTTACACCAGGCTGAAGGGAGGGAGAGGCAACCCACCGTGCAACAGGTGTGCTGCATTAGTTACCTCCCACATTTACTAAACCCCACAAAAATCCTGGGAGGGACGCTATTATCCCCATTTTACAGACGAGCAAACTGAGTCTCAGAGAGGGTAAAGGACCACCTCAAGGACCCACAGGTAGACAGTGATTGGATGAGGCCTGAACAACATTCCTGAGATAATTGAGGTATCCCTTTAAAATGCACCCCATCCGGCGCCATGATCTCTCCATTCAAGACGTTTAGGCCAAAGAAAGTATAGATCTTTAGCCTTTTCCTTCCTCCAAGAAGTCATCAATAAAAGTGAGTTATTGAATTTAAAGTGGGAAAGACTGAGTTTTAAGGTCCAGAAGGAGTCTTTACTGGAAAGGGCTGTGGGGATCTGAGAGCACCAAGGAACCTGCAGGATGCAACGAGTTCTGCCTGTCTGGAGAGGGCCAGGAGGGTTTTGTCTTGGAGAATGGAGAATATTCTGCCCGGCAGACAGATGCACTCACCTGCTTTCTCCTTCTCCCCGCAGGCTTGGTCTGGGATTTGGCACCGGGAGTGTCAGTAAGTAAATAATAGGAGTCACTTGGTCAGAGGGGTCAAATCCCCCTCCCCCTTGTGTGCATCTTCTTGGGAAGGGAGAAGGGGTCTGCTTCCTCTGTGTGTTTCCCTTTTGCGGGGGGAGGGGGGACTGTTTCTTGTCTTGGGGGTGATTTTTTGGGTTTGTGTGTTGGGGCGAGGGGATCCTGTGGTCTGTTCTTTGGGGGGAGGTTCTGTCGGTTTGTCCTGAGGTGTGGGAGTAAGTTCTGTGTGTTTATCCTCGTGGAGGAGACTGTTTTATCCTCGGATAATCTGTGTGTCTGACTCGAGGAGGGGGGATTCTTGAGTCTGTTTCTTGGCGAAGGGGTCTGTGTGTGTTACTTTGGGGAGTTTGCAGGTCTGTCTCCTGGTGGGGAGGACGGTCTGTGCGTCTGCCCCCTGGGGAAGGAGTCTGTCGTTCTGTCTTCTGGGGCTGAACGGGGAGTGCGGCGAAGAGAGAGTTTCCTCCCTTCAACAGCCGTTCTCCGCCAGCCCCGGGCAGCGCCCCCACCTGCGCGCCCGGCTCAGCCGCGGGCCCCGCCCGCCCGCCGCTGCCCGGAGCGGGCTCCGGCGCCCTGGAGACGAGCGCCCCTGGCGGCGGCTGCGCGCTCTGCGGCTCCCCCGGCTGCGTCGGGGACTTCAGTTGCAGCGGCCCCCGAGGATGCTGAACCCTCCTGCCCCTCTCCGGAGAAGTCAAGGAACCCTCGCTTCTGCCCCAGAGTCTTGGCCCTGTGTCTCAGACGCCCCCTCCCACGGAGCTGGCCCTCGCCTCGCCTCTCCCTCTTGTCCCCAACCCCGGAGGGTGAGGTCTCGGAATGTAGTTTACTGGACAGTGACCGACTCGTCCCCAGTGCGGAGAGGGCCTGGACGCTGTAATCCTCAGGAGGCCCGGTTCGTGGCCTCCCTGCACCAGCACTCTGCCCCTCTGAACTGCCCCACCCTCTTTTCCTGGGACTCCTCCTTTACAATAAAACGTTCTGCAGCGAACTGAGCCACCAGCCTGTTCGTACCTGATTCCTCAGGCTATTCCAAAAGCAAGGACGAAGCTGGCCGGATGTGGAGTGGAGGACACTACCAAGAAGCAACCCTCTTCTTGTGGTGCGTGGGTCCACATGACTTCAGTTTATGGTGATATTATAGAACCAGGATCCAAGGGGGTGGGGGTTGGTCAGAGGGCCCCTGGTGAAAGTGACAGAAGGGTTAATTCATGCAGGAGGGTCTGCTTATTCCCTAGGCTGGGGTGGGCAGTCAGCTCTTCTCTGCAGAGGAGCTGAGAACAGCATTCATTCATCCCCTCACTCACTCTACGAATGCTTATTGAAGGGCTCCTGAGGGTCAGGCACAGCGCTGGGGAGCAAGACCCCACTCTAATCCCTGGCCTCTGGAGAGGATGTTCCGGGTGGGGAGGCAGGCCATACACAAGCAGACAGGCCAGAAGAAGAAGAGGTGGGATGGGGAAGAGGGCGGGCCTTGTTCCGCCTGGCCAGAGGCCCTTGAGGACAGGCCTAGGGGAGATGGCCCTCACAGATTGGGGCTGGGGGATATGATACAGTCGGGTGGCTTAGGCCTGAGTTCTAGTTTACAAGTGATCAGTCTGATGGTTTGCTGGGAACAACATACTGTGGTGGAGGCAAACCTGGGCTTTGGGATCAGATGGAGGTTCCAGCTCTGCCCCCTCTTCCAGGTCGTGGTGTAGTTGGTCTGGGTATTCACAAGGCAACTGGACTTGGTGGGGTAGAAGATAGGCCATTTTGGGGGGTGGAGTGGCCAGAGAGGGGCTGGGTTTCTGGGCTCTTGTCACACAGGCCCCAGCGAAGCCTCTGTTCAGTGAGCTCACGTTCTTTTCTATTGCACAAAGGATTACATCATCCAGGCATCTGGGGAACAATGGTTCCTGCTTTCTGTGTCCCTGGGTGGGGCTAAGGTGCGTCACTGGCCAGAGGCCCTGGCTTTACCTTTTAAGGTATGCTAGTGCCAGGGTGTCTGCTGTGTTCTTCTGGGTCCCTGCCCAGAGAAAAGGTATCCAAAAGGCTCCCTTCCTGGTAAACAGTGGTCTCATGCAAAAGGAATGGGCCTGAAACTTGGCTGGCAGGCTGCCACCCACCTGAAGGGTCGGCGACATGGCCCCACTGGACTCATGCGTCAGCCTTGTTTGATCAATGCTGAGCGACACCAACTGTATAAACATTCCTATCAATACTCCCAATGCGAGCAGCTGCTTGAAAGCAGAGCCGCCCTCTGCCAGATCTTTCAGGTGGGCTCCGGGTTTCTGCATTTTGCTAGGAGGTAATGACATTCTATGATTTTCAAGGTCAGGTTTTTCCAGCGCCTGCTGTGCTGATCATGTCAAAGAAGGAACTTTGTGGGAAGTGCAGAAGGAAATACCACCTACGAGTTGTCGGCAGGATTTCTGGTGCGCATTCTGCAGCCCGCATCACCGAGGACTGGCTGCCTGCATTTTCCCTTTCCAAATCCCCAGCCTGAGGGCAGGCCAGGAGATCCCAAGGGCTGTGGGGTTTGAGTCTGTTGCTGGGCCAGGGCCACGTGGGCCACCAGCAATGTTTGTGGTTTGGGGACAGATTCTCTGAGTAGCTCCCCTGACAATGGGCCACATTCCAGGCTGGGGTGGGAGAGAATATGGTCATTTATGGAGAGTCAATCACCAGCCCATTTACAAACTTTGTGAGTCAGGGTGACTTCTGAAGGGACAGTTGTCACCAGTTCGTCATGGCTTCTCAGCAGAAGGTGGACCAGGAGAGGTCAGCCCGCTGTGGGCTCCCCATGCCTGCCTCACACTTAATACACTTAAACATGATGGATGCAACTTCGCATCTGTCTCTGAGCCCCTCGAGGGCAGTGACTGTCATCCATCCTTCTCCAGGCCTGCAATGCAGAGGTGAACGGGTCCAGGCTCTGCGGTCTGTTGGCCTGTGCTTGGATGTACTGGGCCCGGTTCTTCCACCATTAACATGTCTCAGCTTGTGGAAACCCCTTGGGAGACTCTTGATGAGTCTAAATGCAATTCTTCTGATATGATTCCAGGTGCAGTGTGTCAACCAGACCCGCCTGGAGTGAGGAAGGAAGGCCCGATTCTGTTTCTGATCCTGCTGTTACCTTGGCCCAACTCTTCCCCTGTTTCTGGGCCTCGGTCCAGCACTCCCCCAGTTCTAACTGGTGAAGATTCATTTATCTCTTTTACTTTTCCTCCCTACTTAACCTCTCTGCACTGCAGTTGATCTGTAAAATAAGAATAGGACCTATCACAGGGCTGTTTGAGAATTACATATGTTACTGTATGTAAAGTGCTTAAACATAATGAGAGCTATATAAAACTAATTAATGTTTCACTTACTGGAGTTCTTGGGAAGGGTTTTCAGCACCTTTAAAGAAGGTTCTACAAAGTCCAAGGCCAACTGGCCTCCCTCCACCCTCACTGGAGCTAAAGTGACAGTAGGGCAGGAGGGGTGGGTAGGTGAGTCCGGGGTTACATCCCGGGCTCTGAGCCAGAGGGCACCTCCCCGTGTGACACCCAGCAGCACCTTCCTGTCACCACTCCCATCTTAGCCCAGTTCTCCAGCCGTGACCCCATCTCACCAGCACGAGTCCACTCGTGCACCCACGTTGCACTCATGTCCACAAGTACCCACTAAACTCCTCTCTCCAGCACATCTGTACAGGCATACACGCATTCACAAACATAATCACATGTACAGAAACCCTCAGTCACCCACACATATGTGTTTCCACACAGATGCCCGGAGATGTGCACACACCTGGATGCAGTCCTACTGTTCTACTCACAGACAGCTACCTGCAGACAGTGAGCTCTGCAGAATGAAGACACAGACAGCGTGCACCCAGCACAGTCGCATGGCACTGCAACTCCCTTCTTCCCTCCAGCCCCTAGTCCTGTCCCACGTCTCCTACAGAATAGTCGAGCTTCAAATTGATAAGGGACCTTAGTAGCCATCGAGGCCAAACATTTTTTTTTCACTGGTGAATACACTGAGGCCCAGAGAGGGGAGGTGACTTGCTAAAGGGCACACAGCGAGGTGTTTCATTTTTTTCACCATTCTGCATCATGGGTACTGTGTGTTTAACTCATTCACCCTTGCTCCTCTGCCTGAGCCTGTCCAGGAGTGGGAACCTTGGTGGAGGAGAGGATTGTGGAGCTGGAGCAGGAAAGAGGAGAAGGTTCAGAGCTGGAGGGAGGGTGAGAGAGTGAAGTATGGCAGGTCATCAAGGCCCAGCTGGGCTGATGAGACCAGTGAGATGGGAAGGGATGGGTCAGTTGACAGAGCTGAGAAGTCCCACTGGACTGATGGCTTCTGAGCTGGGGAAGGATGAGGGATGGAGCAGGTGCTCAGGCCTTGGTTCTGGACTCCTGACAGGGGCTGCTTCTGAGCTGTGTGGCCTCACAGCGCAGAGGGCTGGTTACAACAATGGACCACTCCGGAACTCTCTGAGGGCTCTGTCCTGCTCAGGATTCTGTCAGGGGGGCGGAGGGCCAGGTTGGTGGCCAGGAGACCAGGGATTGATCCTGTTCCTTAAAAGAGCTTTTGTCTTTTCAGATCACTTGCTTCTGGTCTCTCAATATTCTTAAGTACTTCTCTTGCCCTGAGAGATGGGCATGGGGACTTACATTTCTGCTCCTGTTTTCTGGGCCCAGGACTGGAAGTTTAGAGATTCACCCGCTGCACAGATCTATGTTTCGGGACTTGCCCTGGCCCGTAGTGATGTTGAGAGGCCATCTCCCTACCCTACTGCCACTTGTAAGATCCTCATCAGTGTGTCTGTGGGGGGACAGTTCCCTCTATGAAGGAGCTCCCTGGCCCTGGAAGACATGGGGCATTCTCTGTGTACTTGCACCCTCTGATCACAGATATAAGTGTAACGAGAGTGTGGCCATGGCCATGATTCCTGGAGGAATTGCTGCTTGATATTCTGCAGAAGAATACTGCTAACGATAAATACGTAACGTGGTTTTTTTGTGGCAGGCACTAAGCATTTTAGGATATGAAATTCCTTAATCTTTCCATCAACCCTATGAGGTAGGTGCTCTTTTTATCATTGTCACTTTAGACATGTGGAAACTGAGGCCCAGAGAGGGTAAGTACATGCCCAAGGTCACTCAGCTAGGAGGGAACAGAGCCCAGTTTTGGGGCCAGGCAGCTGGGTGCTCACCTCTACACCACATCATCTTCTTGCTACTTGCTGTTTTCTATCTCTGGGGTAATTTATCAGCTCTGGCAGGTCTCCAAACCCCAAAAGGACTCCATTAAAAAAAAAAAGGTAGCCATATCAAAGGCTTTCTAAAAGTTTAAATCATGTTCATGTATTTACCCCTTAAAAAATTCTCATAAATTACTCAGGCATGACTCTTCCCCACCAAAGCAATGGGTGATACTTCCTTAAGCTTGGAGCGCCTGGTGAATCAAATTTTCATCATTCATCAGGTTACAGATGTGCACAGGGTTGTTTCCGGGGAAGCAGCTGTGGTTCAGTGAAATAAGCACTAGAGAGGCATTCGGGGTTCAAACCCAGCTGTGCCCCTGAACTCAGTGTGGGGCCCTGCCCCAGCTACCGCGTGTCTCTGCGCTCCATTTGCAAGATGTACCATGAAGGTGGTGTGGATGAAATTACGCCGTGTGGGGGCCCAGCACAACCCCTGGCTAAATCTGAGACTGCTGTGAGCCCAGGGACAGATGCCTGTACTGGAGAGCCCAGACTAGGCTGTTTTTCTGCTCCATGTGACTTTGGGGACCCTCCCAAACCCCAACCCTTGAGGAGGATAACAGAGATGCAGACAAGGCGCAGGGCTG